TGCTGGGGTGGAGTGAAAAACCCCTAAATTACTGTTAAATTACAGTGGCCGGACCAGGCCTTAGACTGATGAAACAAATAGATTGTATACAGGACAGTGAAATGAGTGTATGTAGCAGAGAGAGAGTAACAAATATTCTAGAAGCTGTATATAATATATATTTCCTATCCAGCGGGACTTGATAAGTCTTGTTGTCCAGCATCTTTTTGGTGTCAAGGCTGGTGGTCAGCCAGGGCATAACCTGCTTGGTCTGTCTGAGCAGTTAAGTTCCTCCACTTAATGGCCTGGTCTGTGCTCTGATACCATGAGCATGGAGAAATCAAGTTCAGTAAGTTCAGTGTTTGCTGTTTAATGAAGGGTAAGGACCATACAGGCTCTAAGGTGGTGTTGTTTTTTTCTGCCAAGGCTGTTGGAGCTCTGTCAAAGAATGTGCTTTGTGCTGCGTGATTTGTGCAATGAGAAAATCCCGAACTGTTCAGTGCAGTGGGCAGTGACAGATCTGATCTACTTTTTTTTTTTTGCTCTCCCCTAACAGAGATGGTCTTATAAGCAAAGAAGAAATGATGGCTTACTTTCTGAGAGCTAAATCACAGTTCCAGTGTAAAATGGGACCAGGGTTTATTCACAACTTTCAGGAGATGACCTATCTTAAACCAACTTTCTGTGAGCACTGTGCAGGATTTGTAAGTATATTTTTAATAATAGTATATCTGGAATACAATTTTTTACCTTTTTCATGCAGACAGGGTGAAACTGGCTTCATGTGTTGCTGAATTCTCTTGGCCAATTATCACACGGCGTTCAGAAGCACAAAACATTTACTCATGTTGTAGCTGTTCTATCCAGTTTTGTTTTAGCGGTTCCAGAGTACTGGCACTTGTAAGAATTACTGTTGCAGAGGGGAGAAAAATAAAATTATGTTAGCTAAAGGATATTAGAGACTATATGAATGGTTTTACTTAGTTTATCTTAAGTTCTTTAATTTGGCTTGATTTCCCGTGTAAACAAGCTCAAGGGAAAATGGGTGCCTGGAACAGAGGATGTAGATGAAGCAAAAGCTGTTCTTTCTCAGGAAATTGCACATGGTAACATAACTATATTCATAATTCTCTGAAAGACCATAACAACCTTAATCCTTTCTCTATTGAATTAACAGATCTTCTAATTTGGTCAAGAAATCAAAAGTGCTTCCAGCAGTTCTCTACAATAAGAATTGGTTTAGTTCATTTGTTGAGGTTTTTTAAATCTGCTTTTTCTTTCAGCCATATTACCAGATGCCACTTACTAGAGTGCTCTGTACATAACTTGGCTACATTGATTGGCTTTGTGGATATTTGCGTTGCTTGTAAGCCTCCCCCAACTTTTCTGCTTCAAATCATGTATAGTAAAGAAAAATAATTACTATGATTTAAAAGTTGCTTTAGTGCTGAAGTCAAATGTCCACATTTAGACAGATAAAGCAATAAGGGCAGAGGGCCATGCTCTCTGCTAACACATGGGCCGTGTACAGGGTGTAAACTCAGACTGTCATCCCTGCTCTCCAGCATAGATCTGCCTCTGCTATTGGTGGCAGTGTCCAGCTTGTATTACATGAACTTTTTCACTAAGTAATATTTCTTTGTGGTTGAAAGTAACAATAAGAGCACTGTGACATGCAAAACCTTTCAAAGAGCCTCCTTTCAAACCAGCTCTGGTGTTTCTGCTTTGTCCATGCTCCCGTGTACTGCTCACTTCTTTTGTGACCTGTTGCTCTCGTTCAGATGCTCATGGTCCCCGGTGCAACCACTGATCAAGGCCACGGGCAAGAAGGAATTCCACCTATTTCTGCTAGAACAGCAAAAGCCTCGGAGGCAACGTGGTTGATGCTGATTCAGGAGTGTGCTGGCAGGCTCTTGAGCTGACAGTTCCAGCAGACTGATGGGGCAGGGGCAGTCACTGGCCTGAGCCTATTGTTTCAGGCTGCCTGCAGCCTTGGGAAGACGTCATTGCATTCGTGACACTCGGTTCATGTTTGGAAGGCTTCCACAGCAGAGTGAGGCCTGAGGACTGCCCTGCAATGCCCTCTCTAGCAGATATTTTTCTCCTGCATCAGTTTGCTGATTGGCCATTGTTGGATTTTTCACGTCTCCCTGATTACATCCAGTGCAGGAATACAAATGAGTAAGGGGTTGTACAGGAAATGGAAATACGGTCATTTTTCCTGTCAAGTCACTGAAGTCGTTGGCATTGTCCTGTGGATGAGTCGGGCTGATAGGACAGGAACCAGCAACAAAATCTGCTGCGTATTTGTTCTGCATTTCAATGCTGCTCATCCATGGGTGGAAACCTAATTTCAAACTGATGCACTGATTCACAGTCAAAATAATGTGTACTGGCAGTGCAGCAGGATGAATTGATATGACAGTGCAATGTATTAAGTGTAAAATACCTGTTACGAAACTGATACGAACTTTAAAAGTCAAGCTAAAACCTAACGCCATTAAGCACCATGAAATTGATATGCCTATGGCCAACCACAGCTATGTCCGACAGCTTGAGTTGCACAGGGTGGCAGGGTAGGTGATTGGCCATCCCACTGAATTTATAATCTGAATTTGCACAGATCCTCTTACCTTGGAGCTGGCTCAAGCCAGCTTTGCAGTAAAGCCGTGTCAGACAGCTTTGAAGCTTTAGGTCAGAATTCATGACATGGCACTTCAGCTAAGCTTTCACTGCTGTGTGGCACCACAACAGTGGTGCCAAAGCTGAGGAGGAGGAAGGTGAGGCAAAAGCTCTGCAGTGGGAACATAATAATCCATGTCTCTTCTGGTGATTCTGGCAAAGAGACATGGGGAAAAAAGTCAAATGCATTCACTGTGCATATGTACAGCACTAGCAGGAAAAGAGCAGGTGGCAGCTTTCTGCTGTTGTCCCTTCTGTTCTTTCATTCACTGTTCTTCCACCTTGTCTAATGTATTTTGCTTTCTCCAAGCCCCCATTTTTTCCTTGCAAATTCTTTTGTGCATTTTTTTCCCCCAGAATCTTCTTGGGCTATTTATTTTACTCTTTCATTTGTACGCTGAGTGTTCTCCAGCCCTGTAGATATAGCACTTCTGACTGTATAGATAACAATTTGCTAGGGAATTTTCCTATTTCTAAGCAAACTTGCTCGTGTTCCAGTGAAAGCTTCCCAAAAGTGGGAGCACACCCACTGACTCCTGGAACCTTAGCATTTGGTTGTTATGTACATCAGTAGCTTCTGGGAGAAAGCAAAGATGGAATCTAGTGGCTTTTCTGCCTGTTTCAGTCTCCAGCTTTTTTTAATGGAAGAAGTCATGTAGACAAATCAGATTGTTATGTTTAGGTGTGTTTGGGACCAGTATTGGAACCAAGAACCTGATTTTTATCCCAAATGGTGTTTTCTTCTACTGTGTTTGAATGGCATGGGTCATCCATGCATCTGGAGAATGGATGTACACTAGAAGCAAACCTGTAGATAACATCAAGTGGGCCCAGAAGCAGAATGTGCTCTACTGGTATCAGTAAGCTTGATATGATGGCAATTTTTCACCTGTTCCTGGAAGCAAATGTCATCTGTGTCTCTCCTTCTCTGGTAGTCCCACTGTTAAGTGGTAGAAATAAGGGGGGAAGTCACACAAGTCTTATCACAATTAGAGGGGGAGGTCTGCCTAACAGGAAGGGTGTTAAGAGCAGTTGTATCCTGTTTGTGCTTTTGTAGCCATTGGTACTTCCTCATTGTGACCTTGTTTTCCTTCCAACTTTCTTTTCTGATTCCTTGACATTCTTTTGTCTTTCTTTGCAGCTCTGGGGTATAATCAAACAAGGCTACAAATGCAAAGGTAAATAACTATTTCATAGAATTTTCAAGCTATAGGTGGTGGGGCTTAGCACAAGTAGGCCAACTGTAATTTTTACTAAAATGGCATCTGTTCTTCCAAATTTTGCTTCTGCACTTGGTGACTCCTGGTATGCTATGAAGGCTCACTGCATTAGGGATCATAGCACCCAGTAGGAACATAGATTCTGTGATTAAATGTCCAAAGCAATCACTATCTCCATGTAGTGTCACTTTCTACCAGCAAAGACCTTGCGTCTTGAAAAACCAAGTGTCCTCATTGTAACAATGAGACTTCCTGAAATATATGTCCTGAGACTTGGGGTCAGGAAAAGGTCTGGGGGCAATGCTGTCTGTCATGTACATCCGCATGCCCGTAGTGAATCCTAACTGGCCTTGCAATGCAAGAGTGGCTGAGCTAGAAATGGAGAAATATTTAATGCCTAGACTGCCCAGCAGATCTCATTGCAAAATCTTCTCCAGATGTTCAACTTCAAATAAATAAATAAATAAATAAATCGATCCTAAAGCTCTTCCAGCCCTCTCTGTTGCTTTCATAAAATGCTTAATTTCTTATGCACCATACTGAGCAGGTCAGACCAAGAATGACATTATCATAGTCCTCATTGGATTTAAAGTCCTGGACCTATTTATTTCTCAAGCAGCCCAGCTCTGGCTGAAGGGCACTGTTGACTTTCACAGTTGTAGTCACATCTCAGTTATTCACAGGGGAACATTCACACTGGGGCTACAAAGTCGGATTTATATGCTCTCTTTTCTCATAGTCTTACACTGGCTTCCACGTGGAGGGTGAGGAACAGGCAGTATTGTTTCCAATCCATTCTGTGGTGGAGCAAAAGCTTTATGTATGACATAAAGGATCATACCAGTACTTCCAGGTCTCTTCCTTGAGACTAATTTCTGATGAAAATATCATCCCTCTTCTTCCCTTCTGCTGCCAGATTTGTATTAATGGCTGCCATGGAATGCTCTTCACACCTTCTGTCAAAGTATTTGTTCCTTCAAGGTCTCTCCTGGTATCTGTCTGCTAATAGCCCTGAGGGATTATGAGATAGCTGTGGCTTTCCTTTTGGCCACTTGACAATTCTTTTCTTTACAGATTGCGGTGCCAACTGTCATAAGCAATGCAGAGACCTGCTTGTGCTGGCATGCAGGAAATTTTCCAGAGGAACCTCAGTTGGCAGCAATCACGGCTCTCTGCCTAGCAGTCCATCTCTGCCTCCAGGTGAGAGCACTTTTCTTCCTGTTTTAAACTCTTAAATTTTCTGAAATCCTCTTTAATGGCCAGAGTCCTTGCTGCCATTTTTTTTTTCTCCCTTGTATCAACACAGAGAGCAGCACATGTACTTTCTGCTGCACTGTGGCTTGGGTTCAGCATTCAGATTACCACATCCCTTTCTGCAGCAATGCCCTTAGCCTCCTGCTTGAGGCTCCCTACCCTCTATACTGCCCCTATCCCAGCTGAAAAGAAATAAAACTATAATTAGGGAAATTGTACTTCTCCTTATAAGCCACTTAGGGACAGGGGTTGAGAGACATAGGGTACAACTCCAGGTCTGTCTTATCCCCTCAGGTGCAGGGAGAAGGAAATGTGTGCATACAAGGCCAGAATCAGTTTCCAAGCACCATATGGATATTGCTAATTATGACACTGCTTCATATAGGTGGTTACCTAACCCCCTTCCCCAAGCTTAAGCTATCTTTCTGTAAAGATCTTGAAGCAGAATATTTAAAATAATTCCACCCTCTCTTTCAGTCCAAGATGAAGTATTTGAATTTCCCAGTGTTGCTGCGGAACACCAGGACCTTGATGGCAGAGCTATCACCCTCGTCACTGGCTCTTCACGGAAAATTTCGGTGCGGCTGCAGAGGGCAACCACCAGCCAAGCGACACAGACAGAACCACTCTGGCACGAACCAGGCTGGAATGATTCAGGTTCCCATACCTTCCCCAAAATGAAGTCCAAGTTCCACGGCAAGGCTGGGAAGAACAAAGGTTTCGCAAAATGGGAGAACGAAAAGCCCAACATGCAGGCTGATATAGAGCTAGAAGCTGAGGCCCCACAACACATGCAGGATCACAATGGAATTGAAACCCTCCTAGAAAGACAAGAATCTGAGGTGAGTTGCAGAAGCGAAGACAGTTTAAAATCTGTTAGAGTCTGAGGTCTCATAAGGTTATTTTAAGAATTTCAGCATGCTTTTTCATTCAAATTTGTCATTGCTTCTTGCACAAGAGTTACTTTAAGAAGAATGCCAGATCACCTATAAATACCTATTTTCTGCACTGCAGGGTGCACTTTGTAACACTGTAACGGGGGGTTTGGCTCTTGGTGTCAGCATTACTTTCAGGAATTGGGCACTTTTCTTTTTGAAAATCATTAAAACGGTCTTGTAGATACCTGGCCAAAGTCTGTGCTGTTGTACACTTGAAATGCACAGTTCAGGGCTTCACACTTGATTCACAAGAACTAACATTCTGATAAATGTACGAGTCCAGGCTAGGGAGACATACTGGTCTGATTTCTGTTGCCGTCCCCCATGAAGTTTATACTTCCAAAGCCTTATGCTTTCATTCACCAGATTTTCTAGCATGTGTGTCCCTATTTTCTTTTCATTACAGGACAGCTGATTGCTCATCCTGAAGCACAGAGAAACAGAGGTGACAACTGAAATACAGCAAGTGTGGATGGACTGTCACAGACCACATTTGGCCATGAGAAGTTTTCCTATACCTCGTACTTTTAAATTCAACTGTTGCCCTCTTTTCTTAGCTGAAAGGTGTTATAAAGCACTATTTATTTTCTCATGAGTAAGCCATTTGGATGAACATTGCATGGATACACAGACTGGATCTCTGTGCTCAGTGTTTTCTCTTGTATGACTTTTGTGGAAACTTCCTCTACATGCCCGTGAGGATATATTTGGCCTCCTTTAAATATACTGCATCATTTTGGTATGTCTGCCAGCAACAACAATGGTGAGGACAGAAGCCAAGCATCTAAGTTTGATCGATAACACTCCTTTTCCAGAGGCTTGTAATGATCTTTTAAGGAAAGAAATAAGTGTGTCTGTTGATTAAATCTCAAACAAAAACCTTTCACAAAGTCCTCTATGCCGAAATTCTTTGCACAGCTGGGATTTTGAATTTTGACCATGTTTACATTGCTACAGTGAGTCTATTGGTGTTCAGCACAGTCATACCAGTTCCCAGACTGGGAATCCTTCAAACAGGCAGCACGTGGCTGAGACTGAAGGTATTCCAAGACACTATGTGTTTGTCTGGTTACACTGCAACAGCAAGGGGTCGTGTCTGCTAGCACTGATTATGGTAAAACTAGCATGTAATAAACACCTTAGTTTTAAGTGTGTGTGTCTGTATAAATGTGTACGCAATTTTTTTCTGTTAGCAACCTGTACGTGTTAAGACTAAATGTACTACAGAGAACCTCCAAATTAGGAGTTTGCTACGATCTATCACCTGAACCAGTAATGGCCTGAGAAGCAGGTTTGAAGTGGCATTTCTCAGAAGCATTAATGTTACTTAAGGAACACAGCCCTCACCTGGAAAAAGAGAGAAAAACCAACCAAACCAACGTAAAGGTCAAACTGAAACATGCATTCTAAACTGGCATGCATATATTCTTCTTATTATCTCATCTCCTCACAAAAACATATGTGAGGAACACACGCGCTGTATTAAAGCAACCCAATTATGAGATTCCCTACAATATTCAAGTTAATGCACTCTTCATCAAGTTACAAGCCCTCAAAACCAGCGAGTAATTTCATAGGCCTAAGCAAAACTGACCGCGGTACTCCTCCATGGTAATTTGATTGTAATCTGCACTGCAACTGCACAATGCCTGCTCAGGTTTGCATTTTGAATCCTGCAGGTTTCCTCTGTTTTCCAACACAACTAGTAATGACAGTAAATCAGGGAAGATGGGAGAAAAAAAAATTTACATGTTCTTACATTTTCAAACTCAAGAGAAATAAACACTGCAGAGAGCACTGATTTCCAACCTAGGATGAAGGCCAGAAGCATCCTTCACTCTTGCTGCTGTGGGCAAAGAATAAGGATTAGCAAAAATAAGGTTTTGATTTCCTGTGGTGGGTCAGGTGACAGGTCACAACAGGCTGACCACACAACTACCGTTACAGCATACGGCTTGCACACAATGAAAATGATGTGGTGGAGAATTTGAATTGAGAAATATGGCTATGATCCAGGCTGTTGATGGATCTGTTGAGATAAGCCTTTTAATGCTTTATAAATGAAACATTTGTGTGCAACTCCATTCTTAACATCATGTAAGAGCTTTAATCAGCACTCAGGCTGTAGACTTCAGGCCATGTCTTGCAGGATTTAAAAGTTAGTGGTAGCTCTTGCTCTGAAGGGTACCTGCTTTCCTCTTTCTGTCAGGCCCACAAACCACACCTCTCCTCATTTCATTGTTGGACAGGAGTTTCTTGCACATAATCTTATCTTCTCACTTACCTACTCCCCAAAACATGTTTCTTTCCCAAGTTGTTTAAAAGGGTAGGTGCTCCAGCTTCTGCAAAGGAAAAACATTTCAAGGACACGGTTTTTTCCAAGTGCACTGTTACCACGGCATAGACTCACATTTAAGCAAGAAAAGAGATGCCTGCTACAGAAGCAGTTCCCGCTTTCTGTGGGACTGTTCTGTTAGCAATCAGCCTCCCTAAATTTCAACCCATTCTAGAGATTTCATCCATACATCTCTTGCAAGCCTGGTGGCTTTAGTCAGTTAAATGCTTACCTCAGTGGGAGTCCCAGATGATTGAGCATAGACTGCACCCTCATGCAGCTGATCCTTCTAAGCAAAACTTTACGGCATCCAAGGAGAAGGACTCGTGTTTTAGGTGAAAATTTCAAGTGCCTGCTCCTGAAGGAAATCCTTTACTTCAGGGCATTTCAAGAAGGGCAGCATTGAAAGTGTGTTGCTGGCAGTAATGTTCAGCACCATTAGAAAACTTGAGAAAAAAAAGACACTGAATAGAAATAGAGCTAGGCTTTTTTTGTTGTTTGAGGTTTGTTTTTTGGGGTTTTTTTACACACACACTCCCACAAACACACACACCCGCCTCCTCAAAAGGAATAGACTCATCACAAACAGTGTAATAATTTAAAAGCATTACAAGGCTGTTTGCAACAGAACACTGATCTTCAAGTTCCACAGCAAGCACCTGAGTGGGGACAACTAACGGCATAAACAAGTGTTTTGAGAAGTTAGTATGAGCTCTTCACCTTGGAGGAGCCCTGAACACATTAAAGGAAAAAAATCTTTCTCTCTCCTTACTTCAAGTTGACATATTTTTCTGAACAGGGGTAAGACTTTGCCTCACCTCACAAAAACTATTTTAGTTCCCCCATCTAGACAAAGCAACAAAGAATTTCTTGTTCACCTCCCCTAGCTTAGCAAAGTGCATCGACCAGCACAGTTGCTGACTGAGCGATGTGCCTCTGCTTGTCTTAGTGCAATTCTGCCTGCTAGAAGGAGAGAGATTCCAGGAGAGAATCCAGAAGTATCATAATGACAAGAGTACTGGATTAATGAGGTAGCTGAAGCGAGACACAATCTTAAGCGATGCTGGATTCTCCCACCACACTCATTCTTCCCTGTCTCAGGATCTTTTAAGAAACTAGGAGTAAAAGGAGGGGTTATTTAAAAAAAAAAAAACACAAAAATCCCAAACAACAAAACCCAACAAACCAACAAACAAACACACCACACAGTGGAAAGGATGATTATGTCAAATTTCATTGACAGCCTGATCTGCAAATGCCAAAGACTACAAGCAATAAGCATAGGTGAAAAATGTTAAGTGCTTGGATAGAGCCTGTAAGAGATTGACTGATTGAGCCAAACCCACTAGGATTTTCTGTGCTTGTGTAAAACTTCTGCAAAGGCTCATGTTGCAAATAAGGGAGCTTCAGCCTTGCTGTCAACTTTATGAAGTAGCCCTGAGTGCTACACAGAGTCCAAGTGACATCTGGCTCTGAGTGAAATGCAAAATCAGGTTTGAATTGCAGCTCTCTGCTCTAAACCTCCTCAGAGTCTTGCCCTCCTCTGCCTTCCCAGTTTTTGGGCTTCAGAATACTCATCTCAGCTTCACAGAGAAACACCTTCCTAGACAGAAGCTACCTTCTCAGAGGCACTCTCCTCAGGCAGGTGAAGTCTGAGGAAGGGGTCAGTAACAGGCTTGCTGACCACAGCTGGTCTGAAGCATGGATTTTCTCCACCTGCGAAAGGTGAGCTATTTTCCTTTCAGTAAAGAAGAAGATAAAAAGCTGAGCTGCTGAGCAAGTTTAGGGACAGCTGCTGTCTGAAATTATACATTTTCCAAAGTAGAGTGGACTGGCTGCTCTCACCTTTGTGGACTGCTGCTCAGGGACTCCTCTGTGGCAGCCGAAGTGAAAGCATGCCCTAATGCAGCCTCCAAGTTCTTCCTCACCTGAAGCCTGAAAGCCTTATGCTGAGACAGCTTGAACAGCCACAGGAGGATGCTAGCAGCCTGGGACACTAGCTCCAGAGGCTTTAGACACCTGTACGGGAAAGAGCTGCATGTGAAGGATCCTAGACACAGGTTGGGGGAGGGGAAAAGGACCATAAATAGCAGACAGATGGGGACTAAGCATGAGAAGAAGCATAGTAAGAGCTCTCCCTCTCTACGTGACAACAAGAATGGAAGGGGATCCCAATAGAGAGCCCAAGTAGAGAGGAAAGGAAGGAAGGAAGGAAGGAGATCTGGACGCAGATTGCATGGAGACACAAGAGGCAGGAGAAACAAGGGCTTGTTGTTTCATGACTGTCGTAGCCAAAAAAACTCTAACCAAGGTTTGCTTCATTCAGCATCAGCCTGCTAACTGATGGGCCTCTGCACAGCACAAAGAATAGCTCCAAGTACTTCCCAAGAGAGTCTTGACAACAGACTTGGCCCACTCAGGGACACTGGAGAAACAGATGTAATGTTGGAACAAGTTTTTGAGTTATCAGCATTGATCTGAACTGCATTTTCAAAATACGCACTGCAGCCAACAGGCTATACTCATTGGAAAATCTGTGTGCTGAACAAAGTGCTGTTTATAGCTGCTGACAATCTAGTCCTAGGAGACAGAAAAACTATTAGCAAAAAGCTGCCACTGGGGCAGTATGAAATTTAGCCAAAAAGTCTGCTTTTTCCATGAGTTAAGCTAATGCCGGAAAGTTTAGAGAGTCCTTATCAACTTCATCTCTGCTTCATGTGTGAAAACGAGTTACGACCTTCCACCTGCCCACAGCACAGGCAGACTCCCTCTTTCTTTGGTTTTACAATAGTGTTTTCCTACTTTTTGTACTTGTTTTTCTCTCCTTTGTTGTGAGAAAGACCCACGTGGACAAGAGGGGAAATTACTGGACAATAAAGGGGAAACAGTGACACTGACAGCACTCAGAGCTGTAAAAAGCATAAGGTAAACACAAAGAAAAAATATTTTTTTCCCTTCTACCTTTGTTTGTTAAGTCATTAGAGGTGTAACTTATTTTCAGCCAAAGAGGGGAGAAGGCAATGTTTACGGCTGGCAATAGCACTTGCTTTTTCAGTTTGTGTCCCTTCAAAAAGACAAAACCTGAAACAAACGAGCACATGAGTACTTTGAGAGCCTACACAGGGGAAACAGAAGTTCACATCCACCTCAGTGTACTGTGCTCCGGTCACGGCAGCGGTGTGACTCTGGGTATGCTGGAGGCTGATAAAGCAAGCTTGCCGTTTAGCATGAGCCAGCTTGTTTGGGACTGCTAAAACATAATCAACACCTTAAAAATTCATACATATTTCTGTAGCATCCCTGTTGTCCAAGGAAAAATCAAAACTTCAGACAGGAAGCAGGATCACAAGCCTGACAGTCTTTGGCAGCAATAACAGTGAGACTCTCTACAGAAGTCCTCAATATAACCAAGTGTGATGAGCTGATGGTTGAGGGCTTTTGTGTGCTGACCTTCATTAACCTCACAGGGAGCTTACCAACTTCTAGTTACTTTAACAACCCAGACGAGCCTTTGGGACACCCAAAAATAGTCGTCAGA